TTCGTTCTTGTCTAATTTCGCCTCGAGTTATGCTTCCGATTAGCCAAGTGCCAAAAAAACTCGGATGTGCAACACCAAAGTAGACAATCTGAAGCACAACCACTATCGGGTGTTAATTTCGACTTATTTCGGCCCTGAACAGGTGGAATCGTTTTTAATATCACCTACGAAGATTAAAGACAAGGTGCGAACACGATAATCACAGTAATACTTACGTATGTGATGCAGGGGAAAAAATATGTAAGGAGGCCTTTAATTAAAGAGATTGAAAGGTGAAAAAAATCTTCGCAAACCCTTCTATAACGATTTTAAACAGTGCTACATACATAGCTCGCAATCTCCAAAGCAATCGAACAATCCATGCCTCCATTCGTATGGCCCTTCTTTGGCCGGAGGGACAGTCATTTGTGGGATTTGCGTGTAATATGACATATTTACAATTTATTCAACAGGATAAGGCACACAAGAAAAAGTTAATTCCTGAGAGCGGCGACTTATTCTTTTTATATATCAATAAAGTGCATATATACGTAATATGAACTGTAGAAGTCTGCATGTACTTATCTAAATTACTTATTAAAAATTTCATGTCTTTACAAAAATCTGAGGTTTAACGTTTTATTTTTGATTACGCCTACATACGTACTTTGTTCTTCTTTCTTACAGATACCGATCTAAACTGATCAGAGGCATCGAACATAATACGCATAATAGGAATGAAAGCTGTCGACTGTGTTACAGGATTAACAATTTTTCAAAAAAAAAAAAAGTTTGCATAGCGACTAAGTGCACATCAAATAATTTAACCAGAGATATCCTATTGTATTCGAATTAAGTATCATGCATATTTCACGCGATCCTATTATACTTTTAATTATTCTGGCAAACCAAGTACGCAGTAAACTTCATGATGAAGAAATTCGAGTTTCTGTTCTTGTTCTATGCAATGAAGGCATTCTTACAAGTGAAACTATTATCCTAGAGTATACAGACTCATGCAATCAAATTATACAATTGAAAGTATATACACATTAATAGAAAAATTCTAATTTATCAAATTTTTTTTGGTTTTAAAATCAAATTTTAAGATAAATTTATTAATAAAGTATTAAAAAAAACTTATTAGTTTATTTTTTATATTCTAAAAAATATATCTTTAAAATATTATAGCAAATAATTAAATATTTATTTATTTATTATAAAAAATTTTTGTCCAAAGACTTTTTAGACAAATTGTATTTAATATAATGAATTAAGATATTATTAAATTATATAAATGATTAAATTATAATACAATTGTTTTTGAAGATTTTAAAAATCAAATTAACAATAAAATAATTTATATTATAAATACAAAAATTAGTTAGTTTATATAAATAATATAAAATCTTAATATCAAAGATTTAAGAATTATATACAAATTTAAAATAACTTACTAATAAATATTTTATTATTTAAAAATAGTTTAATTCTAATATAAATTTTATTGTATTATATTTTTGTATTATTGTTTTTTGTATACAAAATTAATAAATATATCAGTATATATAATTCAATTAAAAAAAAATCAAATTAAAATTAAATTAAAATTATCAAAGTTGTAAAACTATAAGACAATTTTGTTATTAATTTTCAATTTATTAATTTGTTAATTGCTTATTATTATTATTATTTTATTTAAAAATAAATTGTAATTATTATTTTCTTATTAAGAATTATTAGTAATAAATATTATTAAATTTAAATTTAATGAATATTTATAAAAATTAAGTAAATAAAAATATTTTTTGATTTTTGTAATATTAATATTAGTTAATAAAAATTTTTTTAATTATGTAATTAATTGTTTTAAATACAGTATATTGATTAATTGTAATTAAAAGTTGAATTCAAAATAATTAATTTTGAATTTTTTAATTATAATTTAAAAAATTATTTTTTTGTTTACAATATATAAAATATTTGAATCTTACTATTTATAAAAAAATTTTATTTTTGTAATATATAGATTAAGTTTAAATTTATTATGAAAAACCTGATAAAATTTTTATTTATTACTATATAAAAGAAATTAAGAAAAAAATTTTTTATTAAAAATTTTTATAAAATATATTATGGAAATTGAATTAATTATTATTATAAAAAATTTAATAATATATATATATATATTTATATACTATAACAAGATTAAAAAAGAAAAAAATAGTTAAAAAATAAAGTAATTAACATTTTATAATAATATAAACTGCAAAAATAAATTTAAACTTGTTTAAAATTAAAAATAAGAGAAATCAATATTGTTTATTTCTAAAATCATGTTTTAAAACAAATATCAAAAACAAATATTAAGAACAAATTAGAATTTATAATTAAAAGGTCTTATATATATTTTTATATTTCAAAAAAATAATCAATAAACATTAGAAATACTTATTTGATTACAAAAATAAATAAATAAGAAATTAAATATTTTACTATATATTAATAAAATCAAAGTTTTCAAGTTATTTAAAATACGAAATTTTATAAATTGTTTATATTTCTTTAAAGAGAATCCAATTATTTATTATTTATTTTATAAAAATTCGATTCAAAAAAATTCTTGAATTGATAATTTAATTATAAAAATTTGGTATAAATAATTTTATTTATTTATTCGGTCGTTTATTTTTAATAAACTTTTAAATAATAAAATACACTTGAATTATATTTTTGGTTTTTTTATTTAAAAACTCATACCAATTGAAAACATGTAATGGAAGTATCCAGTATATTAAATAACAATTATTTAATATATTTTGATTTTATAAAAATAAATAAATGGCTAATATATTTTTTTGATTTATCAATCAATCATATTAAATACCGCATTAATCTAATATAAATAAATTAAAAATATGTTGATTTTTATTATATAACAATTGTTGCTATTTAATATATAATTAAAATAGCAGTCTTCAATTAACATTAAGTTTTGAAAATTTTCAAAATTTTCAAAATCCTAATATCTCAAAGTTCTCTTAATTTCAAAGATTCTCAAATTCTCTTACAATTTACATCATTTTCCTAATTATAATAGTATAATTGATATGTTTGCATATAGTATAAAGCATCTTATTATTTATTTCATAAAATAATTATATACTTTAAAATTGAAATAATTGAAATGTAATCACATAAGTCGGGATAATCTAATTCATAGTTCGCAATAAAGACCGTTATACTTTATCCCGCACAAATTTCTTGTCTAATTTTAGCTCATAAAAAAATCTGATTAATTTATGGAATTTCCTTCGAATTCTCACTCTAGTTTTCTCTTTTGTTTTTTTTTCGATATTTACTACTACCCAATCATCATCGTCTTCCTCCTCTTTTATCTCATGTTTTTCGCAAAAATTTAAGAGTTGCCATGCGCCATGACTCTCCGCCCTTTGTTGAATCTCCTCAATGTTTCGTACATTCACGTAGACTCTTATAGATTCCTCACTCAACTGAACTAATCTCTGGATAAATAGGTACGATGCTCTTTCAAGTAATTCCATCCATTCGTCCAAAGTATTGATGTCGTCAATTTCTCCGGTGTACATGTATTTTATAATCCTTTTAAGTGTCATAAAGGAATCATGAGGCCACTTCATGTATCCATACTGTGATTCGCGCATTCCCGTGCGAAATAATATAGTGAAGTATTCTGAAAACGACACAAGAACCTTACGATGTACTCCGAAACATATGAAATGACGAGGTTCTTCGAAAATTATATTAAAGTCAGTTTTGTCATTTCGCGCCAAACTCTTGAATCCCGCGCTATTCTCCATTTTTTCTTTTTCAATTGTATATTCATTCCACATCAGTTCTTCTAATTTTACAATTTCCCTAATCTCTGTCTCTTCAACCGTTGGCCCACATGCTATATCAGGGATCAATTCTACTTGGACATCCATTCCGAACGTTTCTTCGTCTTCTCCATCTAACGACCCTGTCTTATCTAAATCTTGTCTAAAAAGTTGGGTTTCCTTCCACATTCTATTTGACATGCCACCACTCATCTGCACTTTTAGGGTAAATCCATACTGATTTTTCACGTATTCTGTCGCATCTATTCTCTGGTCTGAGTATTTGAAGGTGCGTCGTAGATTCATCCCATCTTGAAGTTCAAAATGTAAAGTTTTCCATTCGGGTCGAGGATTATTACGAGCAGGTAATGGGCGGATAGACCATTCGATTTTACCCGATTCGCACCAATACGAGTGTTCCAATTTTAGGGTCAATGAAGAGATAACATAACTTCCTGTAAACAAGGTTAATTATATACTTGGTCAGAATTTATTTGAGATGAGATGCACAAAAAAAAAAGAAGAAACATGGTTTTTACCAGGGCGATAATTAAACCTCCAGGATATATTTGCTGGTAAAGAAGCATTATTCGGATCTCGTGCCAAGTACACTCTAATGTACAAAATACATTAATAAGGCAAGTTCATAGTCGATGTGTATCACGTGCTACTCACTTTCTATTATAAATTTCAAGTTCTGGTTGATAAGTGATGTTTTCATGCCTCAGGGTACCACGATCCCATTTCTTCAAAAATTTTTTGTCAGTGCATTCATTCTCATAATAGGAATTGGTTCGAGTATTATATCTCATTCTGTGCGAAAACACCATGGGTTTCGTACCATGTGGAACCACACTACACACGTATTTTTCATTGAACAATCCATCCATGTTTATTTGAGGCTGTGGGTTATAGACGATATTCTTTCCTATTATCGAGTGTCGAGACTTAGGTTCAGGACTTAATTCAAGATAAACGTCCATAGGGAATGTTTCATCATCTTGAAGAGCTTGCGGAAAGATTAGGGTGTTCTTCCAATCTATTTCACTGACTCGTAACATGAAACCAGTGTTTCCCTTCAGCACGTAAGACAAAGATACCCAAGTTCCGATCAATTTTGGATCGTAATTATCGTTAAATCGTTCTCTTGGGATTTTTATTCTTTCCCACTTTGGAGAGGTGTCATTTCCTAGGGGAGCAATGTCCCATTCTATGGTTGCCGCGGAATCAGTCAACATGTGAACTGCCCTAAGAGTAAGGGATAAAATTTTGAAATTTTCATATTGGAATTTCCATATGATAAATGCAGAACCGTTGCAAGATTCATCTTTCGTAAGATAAACCCTGATCGTTGACATAATAATTAATGTAATGATTTATACGACTTGTATCTGATAAATCACGCAGGACAAATAAAACATGCCTTTTTGTCCTAAATGATTGTACATAAACAATGTTTCTATGATCATAAGCTCCTCGATCCCAATTTTCAAGATACATCCTGTCACTCACATCATTTTCATAGTATGCGTCAAGTCGAGTATTGTAAGTCATTCTATGTGTGAAAACGTTCGATTTTGCGATATGAGGTTTTAGGTGAATTGGGTAGATGTCATTAAATAAGCCGTGATATGGTGAATTCCTATCCGCGGAAAGCGATTCATCGCGAATGCAAATTGCCATTTCTCGATCAAAGGCTGAACTGTAATTCACAGTACGAAATTGCCCCGAATCTAAGACGCCTTGACTGGCTGATGCATTGAAGTCATACATGTCGATTGAACCAAGCTTTTCATTTTTGTCAATGATTGATCCCTTTTATATTTGATGCTGATCAGTTTGCGTCGTTATTTGCTTTGATCTTCGAATCTTCAAAGAAATGTCCCATGTTCGAAGAAAAAAAATAATTAAATTTTATAAAATCAAAAATGGAAAGATGAAATTGCGGTAATGTACAAAGGTTAGTATATTTTCATTCTAGAAGACCTAAAGAACATAAATTATCTGTGTAGAAATCTATAATGGAACAAGGAGTATGTGTGTATATAATAGCGATCGACGTAACTATTTATATCTTGTATGTGCATGCATGTATCTATTTATTGGTCATAATATTTAAGGATCCACGAGACAATAAAATGACATATGTCGATAAGATGCTAACCCAAGTTTGTACCTTAGGATTAATTCAGCGTTTATTCTTCGACATCCTCATTTTGTTGAACATGACGTAATATAATGAAATTGCCTCCGTTATCACTTTTTGCCTCTACACGGAATTTTGCATTCAATATTTCCAGGTAGTTTTGGATGTGAATATTCATAGTAGTACCCTGAGACTATGATCAATTTTTTTTTAAAAAAATTATTTACATTGGACTATGATTTACAGTAAGTATAATGAACGATGTAACCCATGACTACAGCAATAGTAAGGAAAATTTAAAATTTACTATCATATATAACAAACAAACTTATGTAATTGACGTCTCGGTTAAAAAGCGAGTTAATTGCGGATTTCCTGTAAATAATCTTCTTATCGTCAGTATATGATTCGGTCGATTTCAGTCTTATCTTTGCAGACTGACTATCATTGATTATGCATTCAAAAGATAAGTATTGTGGTACACAAATAAAGAATACATACGTAACGAGCGCGAATAACTTGATTACCCTAAATTGACATCTTTTCAATTGGTACTACATGGATTTTAATGCAATTCATATAGTAAAAATTCAGATATAATGTATTAATCTGTTGTTGATTCATTGAACTACAATTTTCATTTCTCTTTATAAATCGATGGGTTCTTCGAGCTCAAAATCCGGAAGAAAGAAGAGTTTCACAGACGAAGACCTGTTGTCAACCATCGATGACGGCAGCATTGGTGAACAATTTCGGTATATTCAAGGTCGGAGATTCCATAATGTGTTGAGTGCTGTTTATGATTTGCCAAATGACGATGAAGAAGGTAAGTTCGATCGAAAACATTGATAAATAACTGATGGTGAAACTGATTTTCAACTGGTAACTTCTTGGTCGAAGCCGATCGCTTGCATTTAGAACATTTTTTGATCAAAGCAGTGTGGCAATCGAACTTTTCTTCCCCCATAATCCGACAATTAGAGGTATACAGTACGCCTTAAAATATTTAAAAAGTCTAATTCTGATGATAACATTGTTTCTCTAACGATAATAGAATGGGATCTCTGTACTGGACGCAGGGTAAGTTTTTTATTTCTATTACTTTTCGCTTCTTTGTGTTTGCAATATTATTTACCTAGGAATATTATGAAAGATGTGGATCAGGTAACTTGTCTTCATAACGAAAATATTGTTTGTTTACAATAAAACTTCCTAATTTTACTATTATCTAGGCTCATGGTCATTAGAAATGTCTGCCGATTATCCAAATTCAAAATTTGTGGGTTTAGATATTTCCCCTATCTTTCCAACCAGGATTAAACCAAATAATTTGACCTTTCAGAAATCGAACATCCTCGAAGGTATTAATTACAGGTATTTAGTTTTGGTATATATTCCTTACACGATCTTGTTTCACGACATACATACATAACCATACATAACCTATTCTTTGTTGTGTGATGAAGAGACGGAGAATTTGATTTTGTGCACATGAGATTTATGATGCCTGCCTTCACACAAGCCCAATGGGAGGAAATTGTAATCCGAGAGATCGTCCGTGTGTTGGCGGTTGGTGGATATCTTGAACTTTGTGAATATGAATTGTGCCAAAATTGCGGCCCGGTATTCGAAAAATTGTTAAGCTCGCGTGAGTTGATTTTTTTTTTAACTCGTTTGCTTGGTGAATACGTACACGTGAATTTGACATTTGGATCCATTAAGGTCGGGAAATGTTACGCAAAATGGGAATAAACCCTGATATTTCACAAATTCTTGGAAAATTTGTGGATGCTACAAGTCAATTCGAGCAGGTAAAATCGTATTAATGATGGAATTTTTATTATACCATCCATTTATGCAAACAATAATCTGTGATTCTATATTTTAGATTCATCATGATGAAAGAATAATCCCAGTGGGAAAAACATGGGCGGGGAAAATTGGAGAAGTGGTAATTATCTCCTCTCGCTTGTTTTATTTATACCAAAAATTATCACCTAATCACCTACTTACATATGAAAACAAAGGGAAAGGAAGACATACATACGAGAATGTTAGCAATAAAACCAGTATTGTTTCCATTCATGGGAATAACATCGGAAGAATATGATGAGATGATGAGAAAAAGCATCCTGGAATTTGACGAATACAAAACATTCTTTGTCACTTGCAGGTGGTATGCTAAGAAGGTGCATTCGTAGGTCTGCGCATTTATGTATACTAGGAAGGTGTATTTGGTAAGGTTACATATTTCCATTGATCTTGCGAAAATTGGTGTATAAGTTTTCTAAACTTGGTCCTTTTTTTTCTTTCTTGATTATAGCCTTATAAACTTATGAATTCAATCTTAAAAATTGATCAAAAAATTCACCTTGTTGTTTATACTTACATTAATAACAAAATAAAAAAAGATATACAACGTAATCAAAAGTTTTATTTAAATAGAAATCTCTTAAAAAATAATTAAAAAAAAAAGTCATAATAACTATTAAATTAAAAATTTTACATTTACAAAATAACAAAAAATTAATATAGAGCTTATATTATAAATAATAATTTCAGTAAAATATTTTGTATATTTTAAGCCAAAACCAATATACAGTATATACAGTACATAATATTCCGAAATATTCAACAAATTAAATATAAAAATAAAAAGTAAATTTTATTTTATGTCTTTAAATTAGATGATATTACAGAATTTAGTACAAAGTACAGTATGATTTGATTATTGATCTTTTGCTTGAAACTATTATTTCAAATATTACTGTATTTTGATTTTTTTTTTTGAAGGATTTAAAATTTATAAATAAAATAAAATCAAAATTTATTTTCTATAACATGTTTATTAATAAAGTAGTTTAATTTCTATTAAAAAAATTAAATTCACCAAATTAAAAATGATTAATTAATATTTACAATATACAATATATAATTTAAAAGTTTTAAATCCTTAAATCATTAGATATTGTTATTAAAGTATTATTAACCAATCACTTTAAACATTTAATAAATATTCTTAAAATATTAATAACAAAAAAAAAACTTTTTTTGATAATTTTATTTTCAACTTAATATTTTTTTATTTAAGTTTATTTATTTTCTTTAAAAACATTATTGTTCAAATACTTGTCTTTTTTTATTTATTATTTTTTTTTTAAAAACAAATTTTTTATATTTTAAAAAAAAATACAAATGAGTTTATCTATAAAATCAAAAGCAAAAATATTATTATAAAAAATACAAATAGTATATTAAAAAAATAAGTTAAAATCTTGTAGAAAATAATTATTATGTAATTAAAAATTTTTATATAAGCTTTTTTTTATTTTCAAATATATGATTTTTATAAAAAATTTAATTTACAGTATAGTGAAAAAGTCTTTAGACTAATTTTGATTTTTAATTTTATTTATAAATCAACAATTAATTAGTAAAAAATAATAAAAATTTGAATATGTATATTTAAAACCCTATATATGGTTCCGAAAATTGGAATCGAGTAGAATCGAACAGAATCGCATGAGATTCGGAACACTATTAAAAATGATGGTGGGGTATACCCCACTTATTAAATTTAATATAAACTTGAGAATCGAATACAG